ATGTTCTATTTTGGAAGGCAATACAGCACGTTCAACCGGAATATTTGTCCAAGAAAACAACTTGTTTAACTTGTTTAAGGGGAAAAGGTTCCAATATGAAATGGGTGGTGTAGCCTAGGATCAGGCTCCGTAGTCAGGGAAAAAAGCATGAGAAAGGGTGAAACAGTTAAAGAACAAAGAAAAGAAAAAATGAAAAAGAAAAATATAACGAACCGAGCGGTGGACTCCTTCTCAGTTAGCTTCGCTCAGCGAAAACCTTTTGACCCCCCGCCCCCCCCGCCCCCCTTTGTAGTGCCATTACCTTTGCTGTATTTTGTATTCCCAGACAGTATAGCAAAACCAGCCCAAAACGCTTCAAAACGACTCCTAAATTTGTGACATTCAAGCTTTTAATTTATTCTAATGTACCTAAGTGCATTACAAGTGAGTACCTGTTGGCGTTTGATCCCGAGGGGAGGTACTCCCTATAATGGTCTATACGGAGAGGCTCCGCCTGAAATGGGTACCTTTCTCAGGCTTCAGGGTCAGGGATATGAAAGGGTAGGGATTTCACTTGTTGAAGTATATGAAAGGGTAGAGAGATCGGTCATTTCGGTCGGTAAAAAGCGGGTCCCAAAGGGCCAACAGATGCATTTTGTGGCTGTGAAAACTTTCTGGTTTTGTGATTTATTCAGTAGCATTTTAAAGATAGTGCAATTACAGCAGTAAAATGTATGCAAAGTTCTAAACTAGGTATATGAAAGTATAGGAAAGGGGGACATTTTCTGTCAAAAATGGTATATTATAAGAAGGTAAGGGGTTGGACCTCGGGGCGGAGCCTTCCCATACAAAAATGTTTTGAGTATCTTACCCACTCCCCGGGGTTTAAATAACTCCTAAGTCAGAACACCAAAGCTAAAAACGTGAAACACGGTCCTTCCGAACAAAAATTGTTAATCAAAACAGCTCTTCTAAACAGAGTTCGAAAATATTGTGTTGAAATACAGTAAAAACTCGCGTGTACGAACCTATATTATATTATGACCTATAAGTCTACCAAAAGAGGTTCTTGTATTTTTGGGGTAGTTATCAATTAGCAACTTAGGCTAAATAGATTATAAATTTTCCTGAAAAAAAATTTGAAATTGGCCATTATTCACACTTCTACGTTGGAAACTTCTTTTACATAAGGGCCATGGAGACAATATTACAATCTTTACTTTATAATCTGTTTTTGTTGTAGGAATTACAGTAATAGTTTGTAATTACAGTTTGGTGCACACAGTATTGTCTTGTAATACCAGTTTGTAATCTCAAAGTCAAACTCCTTGGTTAAAATGTTTATCATAATTCAACTTTAACCCTCATATAAGAACCTGCTTGATTTTGCTTGGCGTTTGGTTCTTATATTTTCGGGCATTAAAGTGGCAAGTTTCTGCCAGCAGGTTCGTAAACCACCAGGATCTTACGCGCGGGTTTTTACAGTATCTCACATTGATTGTCATGCACATTGATTATCATTAGGTTTTATGAAGAAACGCAGTGCATTGAAATAATTGAGAAAGCTGATTATCAACACCAAAACACATGCTTGTCGCTCACGAACGAATGGGACAGCAGACATGAAGAAATACTGCGTGCAAAGAGATTCCAAACTTTGTTTCCTTAAGTTCTATATGTTTTTTTCCTTGACGATTCTTTGGATTCAAGGTACGTTATCTTTGTAAGTAACCTGAAGTAAGCAATTCCTGTATACTTTATAAGTGTCAGTTAAATTGTTTCCCTTCAAACCTTACTCTTTAGAAGGTGAAAATCTCTGTTACTTTATCTTTATTGAAATTTAGAAATAAACTTAATAAATCTAGGCTCCACAGCAAGTATGAAGAAAACAAGGGTAGTCATTTATCAAATGACTGCGGACAAGAGAGGATACAGCTCTTGAAGCCAAGAGAGGATATCTTCTCTTGCAGCGGATGAAAAAGTAACTGCATATAAATAGTTCGGTGTTTTCGATCTGAACGCTTTAAACCCACAAGTTTTATTTTCCATAAATGTATTACTAGCAATACAAAAAGTAGGTTCCATTTATACTAGTACCGTTCAGGAAATGAGTCCTCACCCCTCTTCCTCCTTCCTCTTCTCGGGGAGGAAAAAGAGCTGAGGAAGTCGAGCCTAAACAAAAAAATACTAGGATGAGAAAGATGTTTATTCAGTCAGTGACACATTTGGCTGGGAAGAAAAAAATCCGAATACTTGCAATAGGAGTCCTTAGCTATTACCTTCTTTTACTATGGTAAGTTCAGATTCTCTACCACTAATTAATTAAGCTACTTGTGACTCGTGGGAGCTAAGACCATTAAACTAGGGTCAATACAACACAAGGATGTCGAATCGATCCAAGCAAGTACAAAGATAGTCTAGGGGTTAGTTGTTGGATAGCATAGCTAATAAAGAAGTTACATAGCCAAATTATAAATGGTTTAGCTAAACATTTAAACTAAGTCTTTCTCGGACCGAAGTCTATCTATCTATCCTCTGGTTTACTTTAAGAAAATAAATGCTTTTCTTGTCTAGTCTGTATGGTTTCAAGAAATTGCATGGTGTTTAGATAAAAGCCTTGGGCAAAATGAAAATGGCTTAGAACGCGGTTTTGTTATTGAATGGCTAAACTCTGTTTAAACAGACGGCCCAAATAGTTTAGCCGGCCCGTAATGAATGATCTAGCGGCCTATGTCGAGTTGGAACATGAAATTATTGTAAAATGGTCTTGTCCGAATGTGTATAGCCTACCTCTCATTTACAATACATCATAAAACAAAACGAAATGATGCTGACAAACCGAGAACGGGTTTAAGTTCTCGAAGAATTACGTCAATTGTCCACACCGTAATTTTTAGGGAGTTATTATAACTCCAAAAGTGGAGTAAAAATTTTAGGTACAACATAACCCCTTTTTTGGGGTTATTTTAACTTCTAATTAAACTCCGAATTTGGGATCATTTTTAGTCCTGAAAAAGAGTCCTTTTACTCCCAGTCTGGAGTTCAAATCACTCCGAAATGGGATTACTTTCACTCCTTACAGCGTGACGTAACGACTTCTCCTCTCTATTGGCAAATGTTTTGAAGACATTCTTAGTGGCGGAGCGTCAAGTGTCGGCTGTACTTACGTACTAGTTACTAAGCGATACTGAACAAGGTGTCGATGGCAAGTAACTGGCTCTCATCAGAGCAGGTGACTAATGTGGGATGGGTACATATAGAAATTTCTATAGAGGCTTTTCGGCTTTTGGTTGTCCCTTGTTTTAAAAGAAATCATGGTATCTGGAAGGTCCTTTAACTTGCCTGCATTCAAATGTCTTTACAGGTCAGTGGTAGATCCAGGGAAGGGGCCCGGGGGGCCCACCCCCCTCACTTTTGGACCTATCTGTGGCCCGAAGGGCCGAGAAAAAAATTTTTTTAGCCCCCCCCATCCCCCTTATCTCAGGGTCTGGATGACCCGCCCCCCTTATCTGAAGATCTGGATCCGCCAATGCAGGTACATTACAACGACCAAGTAACTTTCCTAGTTGTATCACGTCAGTTGATGGCATTATACTCTGGTTATCAATATTCAGAGTATAATACCATCAACTGACGTGATACAACTAACATGGATTCTGAAGATGACTACCGCACAGGTTGTCGAAACGTCAGTCACTGTCAACAACAACAACGTTCACCCGGACGATCAAACTCAACCTACTTTTGAAATGACTCCTGGGTTCAAACCTTTCACAGTCAAACACTTTACCATACGTGCATTTCTCTTCATACCACCCTCAAGGATAGAAGAGAGAATTTAAATACGGCAATGTTCCACAGTTACTAAGAGCAAACTCTTCTGAGAAAATATTTGAAAAGAATATAAACAATCCAATCGAAATTCAAAGTTTTATCCCAATGCGAGTCGTGTATCGTATACAATCTATCTTGCTGATTTTTTCCCTTCACTCTTTCTACATTGCGTATTTCCTCTCCCATATTTCGTAGGTTTTTCCTTCATCCTCCCTCTTATTATTTGGTCGTTTCTTGTTCTTCTCTAACATAAGATTTAAAGTCACGACCAGCGGATTTAAGCTAATATTACAATAACAAAACGGATTCCTCAGTTATGTTCAAGTTATTGCTGTATAGCTTTGGAAAAAAAGTTGAGCGCGTAAATAGGTTAGGGTTAGTCTCTTAAACTATTGAAAGAGACGGCCGTTTATACTGGGACGCAGTCATTTAGGCATAGGGGGTAATTAGGAAACAAAACAATGAACAAAAACTCGTGTGGCTTTTGGGAGGCATTCCCTGTGGAGCAGATCGAGGGCTCGTACAATTATGCGAATGAGAGTCAGATAGTTTACGCTTCATCTCTAATATGAGAGATCTACAATTTTTGCCCCACTGTAAGTGTAATGTGTAAATTTGGCTGTGCCATTTCTTTATTAGCTAATAGTATGTTATCCTGCATCTAACCCGTAATTCGTATTTGCTAATCTATTTGACATCCTTGTATTTTTCGTGATTGCTTTCCATACAATTCTTTCTGGGTTTGTAATCTACCCCTCAAAGGGTTCTTGAAACTTTCTCGTCTTGTGGCAGCTTGTCACAGGTTGGAAAAACTAACTCCAGCAATCAAAATGACTTCAAAATGGGCTAGATAGTGATTTTTCGAAGGACTCAAAAAAATGGAGAGGAAATACAGCATAAACAGCGAGATTTAACCTCCCTAACTAGTTTTCTTAAGAGATAGTAAGTTATTGTTTTGACTGGTATTTGTAGTACTCCTCTGATTTTAAACTCGGTCCACTCAACCCGCAACAATCATACATGGCCTCTGTTAGTAACGTTTACTCAGATAGTCACACCCCCTTAAGGAAATGTACTCAGAGACTGAAAGGATGTTCGATAAGTGTGTTCATAAAAATGTTTGAAAAAACCAACAAACAAGCAAACAGACACAGATGTTCCTGTAGTCTTTTTCGTTTTTTTTTTCTATAGGCGTGTCACCCACAAGAGGCACAAACTGTGAAATAACCGCGCAGACTTGTCAACCCCCCCTTGAGACGATAACAGTAACGCCGAAAGACTCTAAAGTGAGTCTAAAATGCTCGATTAAGACTGGTGGAAATGTGCAAGACATGACCTGGCAGAGCCTTGAAAGAAACCTCTCGGCCAGTAAAGGTCTATACTTACTACAAAACTATTCGACGAATGAAAATCAGTCACGTGGATGTTTCTCTATAAAATACGCAAGTGAGTATTTTCTCCTTTTTCCTCTTTTGTATTTCGTGGTTATATAAAAACATCATGATGGATAATTTTTGGTCTTCTTTCACATGTATTATGAATGATCCCTGAAGACCTCGTAGGTGGCTGACGGAGATTTAATTGCATGGTCACGCCAGCCCTTACGGTTAGAGTAATATCATAAATTAAAGCGGTTGAAGTTTCGTCCGGCTGAATCACCTTCAACGTTAACAAACGCACTTTACTGAGTCCCTAATTTAAAATCAACATATGGACTGCAGTAAAGCATTAATGAGTTTGTTTTAGGAAAGTGTCACTTAAAAGAAAGACATCACTGTATCTTAAAAATAACTGAGTGGATGACTTATCAGCATGGAAAGTAAGGCGAAAAATTGCTTTTCAGTTCCAGTTCAGAGAGTATTTAAGACAAGTTCTCCAGTGGATTACTATCCTGATACGACGCAAATGGAACTTAAGTGTACCTTTAAGGGATGGCCTCGTCCTCGTGTTGCTTGGTACAATCCAGATAGTAAACTAATCATCAACGGATCTGAAAGCTTTTATCTCTACGAGCAGCTGGTTGGAGAGGACACCATATCTTCTGTTCTTCGAAATCCTAATATCCAAGAAAAACACGAAGGGGATTATAAGTGCATAGGAATGAACAACATTACTGGATGGTCGACTAACAAAAGTCTGTCAATTTATCTGAATTATTATTGTAAGTGATCTGATTACTTTAAATAAAGCCACTAATAAACCGGGGTGAGTAAAACCAGCTAAATTGCTGTACCAGTTTAAACTCTTACGTAGACCCCTTTTGTCAATCAGGGCCGGGTTGTTCAAAACCAGCGGGTTAGAGCAAAATTTAATTTCAGATGTTAAAGCTTTAGAAAGCAAAGTCAGTTTAATTCTTTTTTTTTTTCTACAATCTGATGAATGGATGCTCTAAAAATTAGAGAAACCTTATCTGTGAAAGTGCTGTTAAACAGAAGAAATATCAGCCATCGGCGCTAATCGGCCCTCGAACAACTAGATCCAGGTTAATAAATGGGTACCAGAAACATAACGTTGGGGTTGTCCTGTTGCAATGAACAGACATACCATCCAGATGGAATTAAATATTGGGTGCTTCATGTTTTAAAAACCAGCTTCTGACTTACACTAACACGAGACATCTGGAGTGAAATGATTTGAAAGGATAATCCAGTCGGTCACCTGAGGCAGATGTATCCTAGCTACATCAATGATATACTTGCCAAATACTATTACGTGTTCTAGTTAAGAGCAATTGTCCGGCCAGATACGAAAAACCACTAAACAAAACCACCCTTAGAAAGTGGACAAAAAATGTGTGGAAACTATTCCCCTACGAATGCAGTGACACGAAGCCTGGGGAAAGGGATCAAGCAAAAAATAGAACACGAAATACCTTGTTACATAGAAAACTCCAAAAAAGCGGTAGACCTACACCGTTCTAAACCTCCTACTTCACTGATCCCCTTTAATCTGCACCTGCATTGTTTTCAGGGATAGGAACATTGTTATTTGACAATCCCTATTGTTTTCCCAGCTAATCAAAAACAATCTTTCAAATTGGTGCGGGATCGCCCCAAAAAGACAAAATTTGAGAGGATGTAGGTGTAAATACCTAAATACATATATACCGTTAATGGCCTAACAAACGCCCACTTCTAAATAAAAGCCTCTTATCTAACAAACGCCCCCTCTACGCTGTTAAAATTATATTAGACGCCTATCTCTAATAAACGCCCGATTTCTCAATAATAAAATTGGAAGTTGCAAATGTTGGTCTTAAAGGAGAGAAAGTAATAAGAGGTAAACCTCTTGGAACAAGGGCGAGACAACAGCAAAATAAACTGACATATGGTGTAGCCTCCGGAAATCGGGGACCGGCCACATAGGTGGGAGGCTAGAGCTGTTACCACTGAGCCACCCTTGCGTTCTTAACCTGTTTAGCAGACACAATCAGTTAAAAGAGTGCTATATAAAACACCCACGGTTGCTGAAGGATTGTTTTCATCCACTTGCTGAAGGGTCATTAAGGACGGCGTGTTACTGAAGAGAATAGGAGAGAAGGCGTAAAAGAGAAAAGCAGACGAACAGCTACAATCGAAAAGTAAAAAACCATGATCATCGTGATGCCCCATTTGCCATTTGCCACATTTATATTGTCACAAAATACTCAGGACTCAGTATGGGAGGGACTGGACATAGGGCTCTACTGACGCTGCACCAGTGAAACGCAGCAACGATTTTTTTAAAAATATTATTTGTTTATAATATTTTTCATATTTTCGAATATAGGTCGTCTTTCTCGCGCCCTGCAAATCTCTTCTCCCACAGTTTTGGTGACAGCCTTTACCAACGTCAGCTTACGATGCCGGGTTGTAGTAGAACCAAGCGAATGTTATGACAACGAATTACAGTGGTATTTTAGCAACATCTTGACGTCCTTAAAATCCGGTGAGAAGTATGAAATTCAAGAAAGGAAAACCAAGACAAAATGCAAAACAGATTTCATTATCACCATTTTTAACGTTACTGAGGCTGATGAGGGGAAGTATAAATGTAGCTGGTTCTGCAAGAAAGACCATCCCTTATCTATCGGGGGTTCTACAATCCAGTTGATGGTATTCCCTTTACCAGCAGGTTCACCAGCAGGTTCACCAGCAGGTTCACCAACAGGTATGAATAATTGTGTGATAATTAATAGTGCGCTTAACCATGTCACCCGTTTAGTGGCAGCCATGGACAGCTGTTTTGCCCTTATTGGGGCTCATCAGGGTTATGGTTTTGCGCATGTGTAAGGTACTGGCCATACCGCAATCTCGTTCCCAGAGTCCGCGCGTTACCCTTGTCCAGCGGAACAAGAGTAATACGGACTCTGGGAATCGAACGAGATTGGCCATACCGCGGAGTTGGTACGACTGTGCCTCAGTGCTTATATTGGTGTGGGATTTTTTTTCACATCTTATGCGGTAGTATATAATAATAATAATAATAATAATAATAATAATAATAATAATAATAATAATAATAATAATAATAATAACATTAAACAATTTATATAGCACCAGAAAGTTTTTTTCAATGACGACAAATTAACAGTCAACATTAATACACAGCAATAGTAAATAATAAATTAATAAGTCAGTAAGTAACAAAACTTAAATACAGCTTCAGCACACAAAAAAGAAAATAAACAACAAAAAATTGTAACAGTAGAAATAAAAGGTATTGGGGGATAAAAGCCTGTCAGTTGCCACCTTTTTATCAATATTGCTGGTTTTCAGTGTCACGCTATTCAAAATAGATTAAAATAAAAATCAAAACCGTTCAATAGATAAAGTCCAGAATCTGGGAAATGAAAGGAGGTAAATATGCAAAGACCCTCGCCAAGATTCAGGCCAGAGGAATATTTCGTATACGAGATATTTGAAGAAACGTTTTACCCAAATTTATAGTGGAGCCCCATAGCTAAAGTAATCTACCCATCACAGAAAATTTGGTAATCACGTGACCGTACACCAAACGAACGACCGTCTGTCCGCACCACAGGGAAACCAATGTTTACTCTTACACTTTCTGGCCAGTTTGGGAGCCCAAGAGAAAACTAATTGCTCATCAATGTTGTGATCAATTGACAGCTGTCAAAACAGGGTATCCGCTGACCAGTATCACCCGACCGTACCGCGGGATGAAATGTCGACCCATCGAGGTCTAGTATTTTTTTGAAGTTATCCGTTGACAAATTTCCAGTTTCAAATGATCGCAGGCTCTAGTTTATTTTTTCCAATGATTCATATGAAATATGTTGTGTTTATGTCACTATGGCCCCGCACTATTAAGATTTTGATTTCAAACTGACCTCGGACGCGAAAATTCAGCCAGTTTTTTAAAAATACAGGCGGGGAAGACCTTTTCTTACCATGGACACGCGTTGGTCACGCTTTGCGTCCAATTTTTATACTCTGATTGGTCAAAATTTGACAGGTGAGTTCATGCGGAAAATTTATGCAGCATCTTGAAAGTTGTTTACTTTGACATCTTGCACTGAAGCTTACAGAGTTTTGTGTCAACTTCTGATGTTTTTAACTGTCTTTTTCCACGGGATGTACAAAATGAAATACAGCTGCCATCAAGAGTCCCCTGTTATTCATGGTTTGTTTATTCGGTTTTTGGTTGAGAAATGCGTCGCTTGTCAAAATTCGGTAATCCGATTTCGGATGGCATCGTTTTCGTTTTTCACCTTGCTTAATGCGTAAGAGGGTTTAAAAGTCTCAAGAAACTGTGGCCTTCCTTGATAGCTTTCAGGAACTGAATCTCGAATGGTAAGCCTGAGTAATTATTGTATTTGATGTTTGTTTTTGTTATATCTAATTTCATGTAGTCGAGCGTAGTTTATGCGGCAAGTTTATGCACGTTTGTAAGATTTGAGTCAATGATCTGACCTAGTGTCAGGTTTGATATAAGCTTACAGTCCAGGATCGTTATCAAATTTGATAACCATGTGACGTCACAACATGGTGGCCATTTCAATAGCTGGGAATTTTCGTATTCGCCTTTCTTTATCCGAGATTTTGTCCAATCTTATTCGGTGTAAACTCGTCAGGTACCCATGGTTTTGTTCTGCAAGATCAAGGAGCTTCACATGTTTCAAAATGGCAGATGTGTATCACGCGTATTGAAGTAAATTTCCCTCTCAAAGTGAAGCCTTCATCAGATTTTTGTTCCGAGATCAGGTATGTTTTTCCACTTCGTTGTTAAATTTAATGTACTTGTCGATTTTTGTGAGAGTTACAAAAAATCTGGCGTTATATCCAAGGTTTATGCTTTCGATTCAGCATGTTTCTATTGTTATGCACAATCTCTGAAAAAAGTGCATCAGGTATTTTTATTCGCAATGCGCTTTAAATAATGTCCGCCATATTTGATTGATGTCTTCCTCAAGGTGCTGAGATGGCAGATGATGCCCTTAGAAGCAAAATTTCAAAGTTGTGTCGCCTTTGTGGCAAGATCGCGTCTTCAAATACCTCCAGACCACGCAACAGATATGATTCTTCGTGCTATACGACTCCGCACTTCAGTAACGCAAAATTTATTTACACGTGAAACATGCATTAAACTTGAAAATCCGTTTCTTTCGCAATTCTTGACCAAAAACTTTCATTTTGGTATCACTAGAAAGCTCAAGAAATGTAGTTGTTATAAAACGATTTGGTTCTGACGCGCCGTATAAAGGAAAATTGATTTTTGAAAACATGAGAGGAAGTGACTGCGCGCTGAAATTGTTCAAAACCGCTTAACACTTAGTGACTTTCAAAAATTATTGTAAGTCAAATTCCCTTCGCCAAGCAACAGCCAAAGTTCTAGCATAAAGCTCAACTATTATAGTACACATTACGAAAAGTTTTGACCGAGTTCGAATTAAATTGCAACAGATATGACTCTTCGTGCTATTCGACTCCGTACTTCAGTAACGCAAAATATATTTACACGTGAAACATGCATTAATTTGTATATGCAAATTTTCAGTTTTCCGCTACAACGGCTTTCGCTACCTGTACAATAAAAAATTTAAACAGTTATTTGTATATGCTAATCAATGGAAGGCATACTCGTTGTCTGCATGTTCCGTTTTTTTTTCATTGACAGATCTATGGACAACAAACTTCTGTAGAAGATGTTAAAAATAAAACCTCTATCCTTAACAGAATAACCATTGTCTTCCATCACTGTGTCTCTTTAATTTGAACATTTCAGTAGAAACAAATTATGTATGAGTTTGATGATTTGTTTGAAATACACGAAGCTTTCCGCAGAGGTCTTATTTGGAAAAATGCATCTCAAATACAATTTCACTAGTTTTGCAATCTACTGCAAGATGTCTGTTATAAAAAATTGCCATTTACATGAGTTGCTGTCGCCGCCGTACTCCTTTCTATTTCTGAAAACATCTCGACATCGTCCGCCATATTGAATTCAAGAACGCTTTCCCCCAAATTAGGTCACGTGAACGAAAATTTGAACAGCGATTGGCTCCTGGTTTGTTTTGGTCGAGGTTATCAAATTTGATAACAATCCCGGACTGGCTTACAGAACTTTAAAAGGCCTTCAGATATATTTTCTCACCGCAAATAGAAAGACAACGTTCCGAAGAATATTTAGTTATAAATTTGGCTGTAGAAAGAAACCTTTCGAGGAGTTCATCTTTGAAAAAAGCAAACACCGGGAGGCCGGCTTAAAGTAAAACATAATTAACTTAAGCTTAAAGACTCAGGATTTTTAGACACACTTTAATACCTGTCTACGTGAATGAAAATTGTTGCCTCTGTAAATGTTTCACAGAATTATATTTCTTTTATTGATTGTTAGTAGTCTCTCTTGCAATTTTAATCGCTTGTACGTGCCGTTTGTTTTCATCGTTCATGAACATCGCTTGCAGGAGTACTCAAAAGTGTCGCGCATATCAAACGCTCTATAAGATTACACATCGTTATAACTGAAACCATTAAATAACAAAAAATAATAAAAATAAATTCGTTATTATGTTGAAGCGTAACTCTATTAAAGTTCATTCAAACACTCGACCACACTGACAGCTCGCACTAGAACTGAGAACCGGCTGGCCGTATGGGTGATTTTGGAATTTTTTTTGAACGGTTTCGCTAAAAGCCCCACGATTGATCGTCCTGAATATTGAGTAAGTGCAATTTGTCTTGAAAAACTGTGAAATGCCGCATTCTGTCCGAGGTCTGTATGATAAATAGTACTGTTTCACCTCAGATGTGATGTATAAAGAGTATAAAAGGTTGGTTTACACACCCCCAGATTTGTTGGAAGGAATTTGTAAATTAAACCTATCAAACGCAAAAAAATTCGGCCTGATTTGTTTTCCAAGAATTTGTTTTGGAGGCCTAATCTACTGTGATCAAGAGCCATGTGATTGAAGATGTTTGCTATTTTTTGGATGTACATATAAGGCTATCAACTCGATGTAAGAAATAACTTAGCCTTTCCCTCAAAAGTCACATGGATGTGCCCTTAACTTAACTGATTTGTGGATCACAAGTTTATTGTTTGATTTAAATTATAGATTTATTAATGGGAGCTTCGCTTTTAGCCCTGGTTAAATCTATATATTAGAGATTTGTATGAAGACGCCATGCTGGTGGGTTAGCATTAGATAACATCGAGTGAAGCCAGATTGGACACCTTATGAATTTTACACAACGCATTATTTTCATAATGGAAGGAGACTGGAATGTAGAGTGAGGCTAGAATAGCTGAAGAAACCAAAACTACAGAGCGCCAGTTATGGAGAGAACATAGGAGAGAGTTAAGCACTGATCCGCAGTGATTAGGGTTAAGCACTGAACTGAAAACGGTTAGTTTTTAAATATTGTAATGGGGTACGGCATATATAAGAACATGTATATTTTAAAAATTACTGGATTTGGCAGCTAGTCGTCGATGGTGTAGTGGATATGGATGTAGGCTATAAAGCAAGTGATCCGGATTCAAAGCATCACAGTGGAGTTTTTCTATTTTACTTTTATATTACACAGTAAAGTTGGACTTAAGTTGTTCTTCATGTAATTTTACTGAAAGAAACAATCTGACTTCAGCCGATGGTACCTGATGCTAACCAACTAACCATGCTGGTGCTCATCCGGAGGAGCTCCAACATGGCGGACGGAAACCAACAGAAACATCTGTTACCGAGTTTTGCTACAAACGCGTGAATTTATTCTTCGAAGAACTGATATGTATTTAAGTAATACTTTTTCTAATACATGAACTGTTTAGATAGGGAAATTCCTGAAATAAGTCATTTTTTTAACCAATGTGACAGCTGTATCGGCCATCAAGTAAATGCCGCGTCACGCAAAAGCTTAGAAATTCAAGGGTACTCTATCACAAAACCAAGAACCCTTTTGAAGGGAAAATTTGTATGAAAATTAGTTTTCAGCTGCTCTAATACATCGTGAAAGTAAAATCTCGGTAGGATCGATAGTTTTGTAGTTTGAATTTTAGTGACGTCATGTGGAAACCAGCAAGAGTTTGCCACAAGTTTCAATGCGATATTGTTCAAAAAGGTCACGTAAAAATTCATCTAAATTAGGTTTTGTTGCGATGTTCTTGCAAGTGTATAAATATTTCTTTTGCAATAAAGCCAATAGAGGGAGATTGCTTTGAGCTGAATTTCACATTTGCAATGGAAAGGAATCTTCGAATGTATTAAATTAATCTGCTTGTTTTAAAGTTGTACATTCTCTTTATGATATTCATTAAACCAACTTAAAGTTTTGGAAAAGAATTGCTTTGGCTCTGGACAATTGTATAAAGGCAAGAAAGGATAAGAGCTTTATCCTCTCTTGATAAAGGTCGTGTTCAATTGAATCAGGATTAATTAAGGAAGAAAGGACACTTGTCATCAGAGGCTAATTTATACTTCAGTAGTTCTTTCTTTGTCGTGATTAGTCTGTGCGTAACCTTAAAAGAGAATTGGCTAAGCGTATTATCTTTCGTGGACTTGTATATCTGTCTGGATTTGCAAAAACATGGCTACAGAAATCTCTCTTATATACTCTCTGACTGAGTCTTGTAGTGGCGCATGTTTTATTTAATCCGTACCGGATAGGCCACAGTAGATAGACTTTGATGAGTTTCTCACTGGCTATTAACTTATTACCCCCTCCCCCAAACATTTTTTTTTTTTGTTATAAATATTTACCTTGCGTTAATCTTGCCTTATTTATCTTACGGTTTGATAGTTTGGGGGCAGGCGTCAAAAACACATTTAACAAAAATCTTATTGCTTCAGAAAAAAGTTATCCGTTTCATATTTTTTGCCAACAGGAAAGTTGTGGCTGGCGACGACCCAAACAAACAAACGAGAAACGAAACTTCGAGGGGTGTGTCGCAGCAGGTTAGATTAGGACTATTTTACGGGTCGGCAAAAACAAGAAAACCACGGAAAACCAAAGGTGACGGTTAACGGTGATTTAATTCCAAATTCCAAAGACCAAAATCTATAGACCAAAGATTGACCGTAAACTGAAATAACAATACAAAATCTCTATCAATTTGGCGAAAGGGCGATACTAAGACAAATAACGCGTAATCAACAAACTAAAGCTTGTAAACGGTAATAAAGCGATTCTATAACGATTAGGTCGATAACAAGACGGTAAAATCTAATTAAAGGCTACATAAACTGAAATTAGACAATAATTCCATAAATCTGATCTTAATCCTTGTACTATAAAGCAAAAGTGTGGGCGTTGCTCTAACAGGCGTTCAAATCCGCTTTTCGCTCATGAAACAATTATAAATCAATTAAGCTTAAATCTGTATACTTGTACAGTAGCATTCGTGTACCTTTGCCCACAGACTAAAGAACGAAACTTAACAAAGAAATAACAAAAGAAATCACTTACATATCGGTCCCTCTTGTACCAAAGGTTAAGACAAACCACAAAAACGATGTCACGACGCGAGTCCTACTTGACTTTTCCTGACCAAAAGGACGCTAACGCGCGCTTTTATACCCGCGTGGGGACGCCGAAATATCTCATTACAAAACCAATAGAAAATCAGGTAAACATTGTATCTACGCTAGTAACTGGGATCAAAGCATGAAAATCACGAAATCAATGAAAGGTATTGTTCTTATGTCTTGTCCTTTACAAAAGTTCATGCCATTCCTCTTTTTATTGATGCAAATATCCTGCCAATTAGCTTTCTCTATCAGTTAAGTCCGTATCTTACCTAATGCATGATATTCATACTATTTCTGCACCCTCAAAAATCGTTAACTTGTTCTCGCAGACATCATCTATTCATGAATATAACACAAGATCATCCTCTTAAAATAATATGTACATCAAAAAATTTAATCTTGAAAAACTAAGACAAGGCGTCCCAATTTTTGGCGCTAAAGTATGGAATGAGATACCAGGTAGAATGAGAGATATGTCAAAAAAAGTGTTCAAACGAAAATTAATCAGTGTGCTCTTCGAAATATTAAAAGACAAAGATGATTACCTTGATGCAACCATGATAACACTAATAAGCGCTCGTATTAGACTGAACTCGGCCCTCATACTGGGTTGTCTTAGAGTTTTTTTGGCTGCCTTGAGCAAAGTTTTCCGGAAGGCATCATTAAGCTTTATGAAGGAACAATTCTCACGTCTGGCAAAGTCTGCTGCGTCCAATATCTTCTGGTATTTCGTCTCATTTCGGACTACACGGGTGAAAGACTGATCCCGGGCTAGCCTCCCACGCAGGCGTTTTTAGGGGAGTTCGTTTTTCATCCCTGCCCACAAACGTCTGCTCAACCGAAGACAACATTCCTTTCCCATGCTTAGCCATTCACATTGTACTTTCCAAATGCTGGAAAGTTGACCTTGACCGCAAGGTAATCTGATAATTACTCGATCTGCATGAATCACTGGAAAAAATTTCTGACCTCTAATAAATGTTAGATTCAGAGCGGCAAAAATAAGATTTAGTCAAATTTTAGAATACTCTATGCACTTCATAACCTTAACGAAGGAAAGAAAAGAAGGAAAACGGTAATTCTAGGGTCACGTTTTAGTCGCGTTTAGCCTGTCAACACTTTATTGCACGACTGTTTATTCGTCACTTAAACGCAAATAAAACAATGGGAAAGGAATGTTGTTTTCGGCTGAGCAGGCGTTTGTGGGAGGGATGAAAAACGAGCTACCCTAAAAACGCCTGCGTGGGAGGCTAATCCCGGGCTTGAGACGGAAAGATTGGATATTGCGAGCTTTGTTGTTGGCAGTAACAAGTCTTTGGCCTCACAAAGTAGGTTCTAGGTTTGAAATCTATTCTACAAGATGGAAATTCACGCTGATTTCTGACAGGCCAAAGACTTAGTAAAAAATTGTGTGGAAGGCGGGGGCTGTATGTCTCCTTTTCAACCGCTGGTTTACATCCGGGATCTTGAATAAATCGACTGTCAGTGAGTCGAGAAAAGTACCATGTGACGATTTATGTGGAGAAAGCGAGAGTTTTACAAAGTGTTGTGATTGCCGCGAAAGTCATTTATTGTGTGATTTACCGAAAGTGTTGACAGACAAATCTCAGGTATGTGCGGATGAGCTCGTGTTACCAGAATACGCTCCGTGAGTGTATGTGCGGTTGAGCTCGTGTTACCAGAATACGCTCCGTGAGTGTTTAGTTTAGGTGATTTTCTCTTAGAAAGCCTATTATGTGCTCAAAGATTGTAGATTCTTCATCTGTTTTCGAGAAACAGAGAACTTTACCGTCTATTGCCAGCAATAATGCTGTCATTGTTTAGCTTCAGCAAGAGCCATAATGGGACAGATAGGGAATCTTAGGGCGTTGGCCGGGATGCGTGAATTTCACCAAAGTTATTTTTAGAGGTTGTAACTAAACGGATGTCTAATGCCTGGGACGTCCGCACATTTTAATTGATCGTTTGAAACGTCATCAAGTCCACGCGCGACTGCCTCAAAGCAAACAATGCAGAATAATGTAATGACGATCAACTGTTGAATATTGAACATCACCTTTTCGCGTGAGATTTACAGGCGTCTAGATTTCGGCATCAATATTTTAGATGAGCCTCATGAGCGCATTTCAGTTCAAGAAATTGAAGTGAGCGTTCCTACTTGCAAGCGTAGGATAAGCGATGATTTGTCCGAAGAGGACTCAAATTCTGTTTCCTCGTGAGAAAGCCGGAAGAAGAAGTCCGCTTATTAAAAGAAACAGACGAAAGTCAAAGAATTAACTAAAATGCTTAAAATGATGGTGCTTGTTCCAATAAGTTTTTTCCTTCTGGAGAGTAGATTATGCTCTGGAGGGTTCTAAGTTTTGATTTGACAAATGTGATTTTTGCCGCTTGTTTCACACTGAGAGGTCATGACACGCATATTAATTTTCTGTGGGTTTTGTTTCTGGTCGGCAGGATTGGCCCCCTGATGAAAACGTCTGGCTCTTTGTTGAGGCTAAATATGGGTTTTAGGTTCCAGAGTTCCAGATACAATGTTCTGAGCGTCGAGTTTTCCTTCGATTAGCCATAAGCTTTCAATGGTTTCCAAATTTGTCATGACTTATTGTTAGTCTTGTTAGAGCTGTTCTGATATGAAGTTATAACAAATGGGAGGAAGTTTTACTTTCTAGTCCTTTTAACAGCACCTCTGCTGCTTTCCTATTTTGATTTCTGCTGTGATTTACCTGCATTTTAGCGTTTTCGTTCGAATTGCGCGTCGACGTCGCTTCTCTAGAATTGACGTTTGGCTGTTTTCATTGTTTTGTGCAACAATTCCCACTCCTCTGTTTGCTTTTTGCTGTTGTTTTTTCTTCCCGCCGAGGTTCCTGTACCGAAATTGAAATTTCTGTGATTAGGATCGCTGTCCGCGGACTTCAGTTCCTCCTAAAAAACTGATATATCATCTAGCAAATCAGCCAACTCCAACGAAATCGTGGAATCTAGCTCCCAACCGCAACAATCCCTCAGGATAAAACCAATTCATTTGTTTACAAAATCACTTTCGTCGATGAAACGTACAACCATGCAGGACGCCATTATTTCTCGACAGCGCTGAATAAAAGTTTGCGGACCTCTCGGGAAACCAGTTTCCGATTAATTCAAGCGTTTAATTAGTTTAACTAGAAATACGTGTATCGCAGAACCTCGCGAAGCTCAGAGGGGAGCCAGCCCATAAGGGGTGGGAGGACAGGAGAGAAATGCGAATAACCAGGAAAAAGTCACCCTTAGTTGGGAAGTATAATATTGAAGGTCAACCTTTGGAAAGTGTTAATGTGTATAAAGATTTAGGATTATTTACTGCTAGTAATCTGCCATGGAACCAACACGTAGATAAAATAACTGCTAAGGCTAATAGGGTTTTAGGGTTGGTTAAGAGGACTTGTAGGGACTTAAAGGATATTGATACCATGAACACACTTTATTGTAGTCTTGTGAGACCTTTATTAGAATATTCATGCGAGACTTGGAACCCTCATACTAAACGTAACATTGATAAATTGGAGGCTGTTCAGCGAAGAGCTACCAGATGGATCACTAGGTCTGGTGATGATTATGATACCAGACTATCTAAGCTAAAATTGTTGTCATTATCTAATAGGAGGTTCACTAGAGATGTTACATTTTTTTTTAATGTAATTAATGGACATTTTGATATTGACATTTCAAATAAACTCATATTTTGTAAGGACAGAAATACAGGTTATAACTTGAGGAAAAATGACACATAGGACCTTGTTCAAAATTTTAGTAGAACTGATGGTTTTAAACATAGTTTTTTTAACCGTGTTGTAGATGAATGGAATGGTTTACCTAATCATATTAGAGAATCAAACAGTATTGCAACTTTTAAAAGAAATGTTTTAAGCTTTATTAAGGATAACTAGAGCATTTATATTTCTATTTGTATATATTTTTCTTATATTTTAATTAGTGGGGGCATCCCTAGTATGGCGCATTGGCACTTTTGGTTGTCTCCTTCTCCACAACTTTTTTTTTTCTTATAGCAGTGTTAGCTTATTTCATTTCATTATTTGCTTGTAATGTAGTGGAGTGAATCTGTAATAAATAATAAATAAATAAAAATGAAGTAAATCATGTAACTGGGGAGGGCGGGTCTAATATTGGAAGCTGAGATCTACTTAATGTCCTGTGGATTAAATTTGAAGCTAGTGCTCTGGCTTTAAAAAGGATCTTCTGAGATTTAAATGGGGTTGCTGTTGTTAGCGGATGCTGCATAGGTCCCATCCCACCATGTTCACCCCATTTGACCCTGGGTGATAGTGGATGACTGCCGACTAATATGCAGTTGCATTTGCTTAATAAAAGCTCACCCTTAAGTGCAATAATTGTTTGTGAAATTCGTCAGTAGAAGTGAGACGATGGCAATACAAGGAGATAATGCTGCAGTGAAAACAACAACTAAATGCTGGCAATTGGAGAAAACATTTATTGTTGGGCGAACTACAGTTATAAAAGTGTTTGCACTTTTTTTGGTACATAATCACACTTGACAACTATTGTTTGTAACAGTAAAGTGCAAACATAATCACTGAAATAGAAAATTAAGGATGCAGTACATGAGAATTACTAAAGTGATCATGATTTATGATTATTGAGTGTGTGGCATTCACCATAAAGTACTGAATCCATGTAAAAAGTACCAATTTTTTACCACTTAGGCAAGTGCTCATAGTTATTTGTGTACATGCATAAGAAACAAATCCTTAAACAAGAGTGAATTTGTATAAAATGTCCACAAACAAGTCATGCTGAAGGTGATCAGTTTCGCCATTGGTCTCCATTCTAAACATGCTTGAGCTTGTTGAGACAGTGCCAGAGCCATAGATTTTTAATTTCCCAGACTGAGACGAGTCAAATGAACACTTTCCCTGTATTACATGCATTTATCGTGAATGTAAAGCTAAGTGCAGGATAGATTGATCTTATGGGAAACCTTATATAAATATCTGCTTGCATGCCGTTTAATTTCTTGAAACAACCTTCATCTGCCAATGGAACAAATGTTTTATTTCTGTGAATATGTCACCTCTGTCTGACTTCTTTGAAAGAGTGAAATTTTATGAGTGACCTGTTAAATTTTCCCTAACAGGGAGGAGGATATCCGAAATACAGATATTATTTTCGAATAATATAGGAACAAAAATATAGGGGGCCAGCAATGACAAATTTTTGTCGTGTTTGACTTAAAAGACACAGCTGTGTCTATGTATAAGGCTGCTATACACACATATATTTTACTTGTGAAGGAAATTGAATGAAAATTGTAAGCTTAAACGAAAAATTTTGTTCAGTAAGGATTTTGTTTACAAAATGTAACGCTTCCCTACATGTCACACATTTTCGGTGTTCTAAAGGCCATTCATTGTAAAATGAAAATGAAAATGCCTTACTATAAAACGGTGAAAAGGCTGATCGGCTGTCCTCAGTCCGTTGCAAGGATACTCCTCGTGTCGATTTTACAGATGGTGTAATTCTTGCTTCCTATCGTTGCATCGAAGAAGATAATTTGGACTGTAAACTTGCCTCTCTTCGGTTTCGTTGCGAATTCTATTGACCGAATTTCGCTGAAACGTCGGCAGTCGGTGTTCCCTCTCTTCGTCGGCTTCGTTTGCAGTGTAACTGTAGTATTTTGTTGCTAACGCTTTACATATTCGTGGTCGCTGTATAACCTCTGTCTCTAGTTGACAGTGTTTGCCTTCGCTGTGCCGTTACTCGAGCTGAATTTAAAGTCGACGTTCTCGCTCTTGCGGAGTTTTGTTTGCTAATCTTTCCCAGCGAGGATTTCCAGCCACTTGTTAAATCCACCGTTGTTGAGTTTGCTGTTCTCTTTTATTTGCCTGAGATATTGGGTGGTGACTCACCGACCGTAAACATTGTTATAGTTCACAAATGTTAAAAACAGTCTTCATGAATAAAACCAGAAACTCATAAGGGGTTGAAACGTGTAACTCTGTTTGCTAACTGTCCAATGCTCGTGATTATTAATTTTCGAAAGTACCATATTTGGAACGAGAAGAAGAGATAACTGACCCATCAAACTTCGTAAACAACGTGACGTAATTTTACTTCAGGTTCCCGCGCCCGCTTGAAAGAATGGCCGACAAACGGGGGAAAAACTCCCAAAAGCCGAGAAAGCTTTCAAAGATTGAAACCAGGAATCCTACCGAAACACTGAGCAGGATATTATTGCCTTACCACCCGGGCCAAACGTAACATTATGAAACCCACTGACGTCCTCGCAACTTCTTGAAGCTGTCACTTCAAAAAACGATACCTCGTTGACGCTGCACAGTAAACTTATCCTACAAATAGGTTTTTAAAATTCTTATATTAAAAGTCTAGAATAAACAGTAAAAAATATTTTGGAATACAATTCATTAGCTGCGTATCGAAAAGTGTCCAAAATCTGAACCTGACATCTTCGCAAAAAGAGATGCGTGTAATGAATGTGAGAAGTATTTAAGCTTAAATTCAGCTTGGATGTTGTAGTCACGATCGTGTTTTGAGCTAGTTTTATGAATGAACAAACTCAAAACAATAGACAGAGAAGCCGTTTCTTAAAAATTTTAAATCAAAATCCAAAAAGTTAATCGAATAAAGCAATTCGGAAAACACTATCTGGATCGTGGATCCGTTCACGCACGTGAAATCGGCTGAGCACATGGGTTTTTCTAAAACGAAGAGCCAAAAACGAAGACCTAAGACCTAAGACCCCATGGACTAAAACGAAGACCTCATGGACTAAAACGAAGACCCCTTGGACTAAAACGAAGACCCCTTGGACTAAAACCAAGACGCCATGGACTAAAACGAAGACCCCTTGGACTAAAACCAAGACCCCATGGACTAAAACGACTGATGCTAACCGCTGTGGGCAATGCCCGCTCTCGTAATTTGTTACGGCGATTTGGGAATGTTGTGGAATTTCCTCTGCATTATTTAGTTGTGATAATCAAGTCTATCACTGACTTACCTTTCCTTCAGGTTTCTAAGGTCTTAGGTCTTCGGTTTTGGGTCTTCGTTTCAACACAAGATCCATCTCAAATCTGGGCACATTTTGTAATTTTTCTTTAGCGCCGAAGAGAAAAATTTATAAAACGTCTATGAAACATTTAAAAATACGTAAATTCCCTTTCAAAAAACGTAATTGTCTTGGCCATAGAGTGCAAAATGTACTTGAAAATTCAGCAAAAACTTCACTGCCTTGGTTGCATTTCAAAACAGACCGATGCGCTCCGTCGTGAAGAAAACAAGGTTGACTTCCTCGACGGACGAATTCTTGATGAAAAGCTTCCCTTCCTCCACCAAAAGAAAGCTGAGCATTCTTTTGAACTTTCTCTTTCTATTTCTTGTCTTTTAACGATAGATTTATAGCCAAAAGGAAATCACGCTGGCCTTGCGCTGCTTGTGTGATACACGCGCGCTTCGCGCGCAACGAGATTATAAACCTCGCGGTTCGGCGCTTCGCGCCTCTCTTCGCGAGGAAAAATAACTTTGCTGAAATTCACATATCCCAAGGACTAGACTGGGCGTTTCCGTCTCTGTCCCATTATGGCTCTTGGCTTCAGCTAGTGACTTTTAACTACTTCCCATTCCACTTAGATGTCAAATAGTTAAAATGCACGTGAAATTTCTTTAACCACGTTTTAACAAATCCAGACAGATATATTTGCAAAACAATCACCCCAATCAGGAATTTCTGGAAAGCTTTTTTCCCAACCCCTTACTGCGGAGGCTTCTGAAACAAGTTTCTCGATGTACAGACTGTAATAATTTTTACAGCGGAATTTGGTTAAGACTATTGTTCTATCTTCCATCTGACAGTATTCTGAAGTTGCTCCAAGCAGATCAGGAACCAGAAAATCAAATGCCTTTCGTTGAAATCGGAGGAATGGCAGAAATTAATTGAAAATGTTGCAAAAAGATATGTCTTTAGTCTTTTGTTAAAGATTTCAGCAGAAGAGCTTGATGTTATGTAAAAAGGCAGCGAAGAATTCCAAAGTCTTGGTGGGGCAAACCGAAAAGAATTTATATCCGTACGTTTTAAGATTAAATGAGGGCGAATTAAGCAACAGTTTCGAAGCAGACCGCAAACTACGCAACGGAGAGTAAGGCTCTAAGAGATCACTTAAGTACTGAGGAGCCAAGCCTTGCATCGCCTTATATGTAATATATAGATTTAGCAAGGGCTAAAAGCGAAGCTCCCATTAATAAATTTTATAATTTAAATCAAACAATAAACTTGTATTCCAATTATTTATTTTAAGTGATTTTAGAGAAAATTAATTTGCAAACAGTCCAAGAGTGAACCAAATCTTACATCGAGTTGATAGCCTTATATGTACACCCAAAAAATAGCAATCATCTTTGATCACATTACAGAGACATAATGGCTTTTGATCACAGTAGATTAGGCCCGGAAAACAAATTCTTGGAAAACAAATCAGGGCGAATTTTTTTGCGTTCGACAACTTTGCTTTTACAAAATCTTGCCAACAAATCTGGGAGCGTGTAAACCAACCTTTTACACTTTTTATACATCACATCTGAGGTGAAACAGTACTATGAGGCGCTGTTTTTATCATACAGACCTCGGACAGAATGCAGTATGTCACAAACGGTGCCATCCAAAATCGGATTTCCGACTTTGACAAGCGATGTATTTCTAAGCCAAAAACCCAATAAACAAACTAGCCATGAATCACAGAAGACTCTTAATAGCAGCTGAATTTCATTTTGTACATCCAGTGGAAAAGACAGTTAAAAACATCACAAGTTGACACAAAAATCTGTCAACTTCAGCTGTCAGAGTAAACAAGTTTCAAGATGCTGCATAAATTTCCCGCATGAACTCGCCTATCAAATTTTGACCAACCAGAGCAAAAAAAATTGGACGTAGAGCGTGACCAACGCGTGACCATGGTGAGAAAAGTCAAAAGCAACTGTCTTCCGTTCCTGTAATAGCTGGCTGAATTTTCGCGTCCGAGGTCAGTTTGAAATCAAAATTTTAATTGTGGGGCACATAAACACAACATATTTCATGTAAATTTTAAAAATTAATTAAAACTTGAGCTTGCGATCATTTGAAAACTAGTAACTTGTCAGCGGAGAACTTCAAAAAATACTCAGCCTCGATGGGTCGACACCTGAGCCCGCGATACGGTCAGGTAATACTGGTCAGCGGATTCCCTGTTTTGACAGCTGTCAATTGATTACAACATTAATGTGCAATATGAGGGCATCATCAGTTTTCTTGTGCTCCCAAACTAGCTAGAAAGTGTAGGATTGAACATTGGTTTCCCTGTGGTGCGGACGGACGGGCGGTGTACGGTCACGTGATTACCAAATTTCCTGGGATGGTTAATATTACTTAGCCATGGGGCTCCGCTCGCGCACGGTTCGCGGGCGTGGAGCTCCGCTAAAAAGCTGCACTTTAAATTCAATACGCTGATCAACAGGCAGCCAATGTAACTGAAAAAGCAGTGGCGTAACGTGATCTGATTTTCTTGACAAGCCAGCGGCAGAATTCAAAACATATTGCAGACGCTGTTATAAGTTCTTTGCGAGACCATAAAGCAAAGAGTTACAGTTATGAAGCTTTGAGGTAACAAATGCGTGGACAATTAAGGATCTTCGCTTTCTGGAGACTTAAAAACTCTCTGATGCGCCAAATGTTCTTTATAGAGTAGAGCGAAGATTTGCAAATTTGCGTAACGTGCGTCAAAGCGTCGAGTCGAGAACAACTCCAATATTTTATGTAATGCAATTGTCATTGCCTCCTTGTTCTCAGTGACTAGCCTTTAAATATTAACTAAGAAACACCTCTACAAGGTAAAATTGGGATTATTAGACCCTTATATTAACCCTAGGACGTACAGGGGGGGGGGGGCGGGTGGATCCCTAAGGTTTTTCTGAGTTTTCTCCTAGTGGATAAAGCATCAGCACCTAATGTTTTCAGGAGCTTTTTGTTCATCCCTCGGGCGCATTTTGAGTCAAGTTCAGTGAGGAGGAGGCGCTTCAACCATTTTTGAGTGAAAGTATATGTTTTTTTCAATTTTTTCAACAATAAAAGTAAATCTTGTGGCTAAAATCATGCAAAGTGCTTATTTGCGGGTTATATTTCATCTCAAGCACAAAAAAATTGCCATTTCTTGCGGTTTTATCCTGATTTCCAATTCTTGGTAAAATCCAAGATGGCACCCAAGATGGTGACCATTGTTGATGATGTCACAGCCCCCCCGGAAATGCCACCATTAACGGCTTTCATCGTTTCGAAATACTGCAACATATCAAAAACTCTAGGGGGGGGGGGGCTTCCACCCACCCCCCTTGTACCACGGTGGGGTATGAATTTGCATGTACGTCCGAGGGTTAACATGAATAAAACCTTTGTTCTCTGTCTTATCGCATAGACAATTATCTTTTTGGGCCAAAAATGCATTTTTTGGAACAATTTTCTCCTTGAAAATTGGAGTTTTGTTAGGTGAATAGTTCTGAAAGCAGACTAACAGTTGAGAATCGGTTAACATGATAGCAAAATATCATCCTTCCTCTCAATAAAAATGTTATCAATTTTTCTCTAGGCCCCCCTCCTGACGGCCCCTGTTCATTGTCATTTACAAGGAGGGGGGAACGTTTTTGACAAGGCTTAAAAATAGACATTTTTGAACACATTTTTTTCTCACTAGCACTCCGATTTAGATCAAAATTGAAACAGGATGTAAATATTTCACCCTTTGTGAACCATTTCATGCTTAATAATCCGCGGGCACTCAATACATTTTTGCATGCTAATCAAATGAAAATGTATACCTGAGACAAAATAGTAAATTTTCACAACTTTTGTTCGCCGCTATCTTTCTATTAAAAAATGTAATTGGGGCGATGTTAAGCAAGAACGTTGGATGGTTCCTACAGATTGCATTCCTTTACGTTTTGCAGTCAGTTGTCTGTTGGCTTACAAAGACAGGCATCGCATGGTTGACGGTTAATTTATGCAAATTACTACCCGCGATATAACTTGGCAGTAAAATCTAATTCGACGTTTTCCAGCAAAATAATCGCTTCGATGGGATTATTAATAGATAACTGACATATTACATACCATTACAAAGCAATCAATGCGAGAAACATTTCAGAGCCAAAGTCAAATCACACTCAAGTCACGGTTCGTTTAGGTCTCATCCACCGTGTAGTAATGCATGTCGTCGCATTCGAGTGTAGCTAACTGTCGTGGGTAGAGGTCGTGGGTCGTGGGTGTGGGTTTTGGTAATTGTCGTGGGTAAAAAAAAAATCTTCCCAAAAGAAAAATTAAAAAATTAAATAGCAAAAAGTTGTAAAATTCCTGAAACGAAAATCTCCGTGTACATACCAGTCCTATTCCCCTTCCCCGCGGTCAGCAAAGCAAATAACCGAATCCTCTAGTAAAAACGGACACTAAAAAGACATTTAGGTGAAAAATAAAAGATACTCTGTGCACTATGTAAACCTGAAGCAGGCTATACAAGAACTGGAGACTGACCTGCTTTTTCTCAAAGATGGCAACATTCGTGAGTGAAACGTCCTTTCAGTTTAAGGAGTGATATTTCGAATCGTTACCGCAAGGAGTTTGTACACAAAACAACACAAAAAGTAATCGAGAAAATTGTATTTCCGTACGGCAATAAAATTTACATCCAGTCTCGCCTTAAGTTGAAGGGTTTTATTGGGAATGAAGGTGGTTCCTTCGTAAGGTAAGAGACCTAAAACATCTATCCAAAAATGTGAAATACCTAAAAATTGTCCTTTTCCCTTCCCTCTCTCAAGGTGATCGCATTCCATCATGTTAAAAAATCTCCACTGATCATTGGAATTGTCGATCGAATAAGGATAAATAGTGAGCAGCTATTTCCATTCAGCGAGTCAAAGCTGTCCCATACTTCCTGCAAATTGGAGGTATAATTTACGTCTTTTTCGTTTATTTCGCGGCTGTAGCTCAGGTATGGATAAATCTTCATCGGCAAAATGTCTTTTATACAGTGACGTTATGAAAGGAGAGCCAAGTCCAACAGGAAGAGGACGAAGAAGCCGTGAGGAAAAAGGCAATCAAGGAGTTGAAGATATTCGTTTCACAAATATTTTACAACTTTTTTCTATTTATTTCTTTTTTTCAATTACTTTACTTAATCACTTTACTATACTTTTTTTAGCCACCACATTTACCCACAACCACACCCACGACCCACCACCCACCACCCACCACCTACGACATTTAGCTACACTCACTAAGTGGGAGTCGCTTATTTAGTCGCACATATTTACATTTTTTTGTTCTAACTTTGTGGGATTATTTGACGCGGAGGGCCAGTCACACAATTCTGTTTACGCTCTTCATCGTTTCATGCTTGGTATCTACTGTATGACTGTGTAAGGGGAAGCGGGTTTTGCCAAATCCCTGGCACAAGAGATTGGGGCACATAAACAATTTGCGCAAAAGGAGACTGAGTACTATTATGCTTCTCTCGCAAAGCGACTTGCAAAGCAGATATTTGTTATGCATCAGTCATTTCCAGCTGCTCCCAGCCCCCCCCCCCCCGGGCTACTGCGGGACATTTTCCCGCCTTGTCAGTCCCGGGGGTGGGGCATTTGCAATTTTTGTGCTGCCCGAGGGCCGGGCGTTTGCTAACCCCGGGGCCATTCCCGAGCTTTTGATACGCACTCGGTTTCCTATCAGAATATAAGTACACGGAGGATTTTACTGGGAAAGAAAGCAGATTTGCTCATCTGTCAAGGACATGAATAAATTGAAGAGGGTTGTAAAGGAATGTTCTTGATTTTCTGCATGCATTTCTTCATTGCTTATCAAGCCAGAATTACATAGGGAAATCGGGAGCTATCGAAATGAATCAACGTTTTTTGGTTATTGAATCAAATTTAGCAATTGATTGATTGGCAGAAAAATATTCTTTCATATTTATAAAACTATTCATAGCATATAACTTTACAGCACTCTATTAATTTTAATATCAATAATTTTACATCAATGCTAAAATTATAAACTGGTGCATGTCGTTGCGGCGTGAAGTCTTAATTAGAATCATAGCGCTGTTACAAAGGAAGACCTTAATTGAAACAAAAAAGCGCACATTAAAATGCTTAAAACGGCACTATTCGACTGTGCGATTAATGAAAAATGTTGCAGTGTTGACGGAGAACGGGGCATTTGCCCTCTTTTTTCGTCCCCACCCTGGGCGATTTGACAGCTCAAGAGTCGCCACCCCCGGGAATTTACCATCCAAGGCAAAAAAAATGCGGTGGAATTTTGTTAACAATAATTTTACCTTGTTGGGTATAGGAGCAAGGCGTCTTTAGGAATGCAGCAAAAATTGAAGTTCCGGGGCTTCTGGACAAAGTTTTGTACGGGGAAACTCGCGCCGAGGTCCAACCCCATACCCTTTAACTGCTGTACATGCACTGTTTTTAAAATATGAATTAAGTACAAAACCAGACCGTTTACTCAGCTCTTTTCACAACCATGTAATGCATCTGTAAGCCCTTTTTTCGGCTTTTTTACCAACCGAAATGACAGTTTTCCCTACTCTTTCATATACTTCAGCAAGTGAAATCCCAACCCTCTCATATACTTAAAGCCTGAAAATGGTATCCCTTTCGGGTGGAGCCTCTCCCTAAAGGCCATTTTAGGGAGTACCCCCGGGGATTCAAGTCGGCTTTGAATTTTGATCAACAATATGTCCAATTCAAACAGGTCACTTTCAGAAGTCTAAGTCCAACTAAAATGGGGTTCACTGTTTTTCTGACATTATGCTTGATAAAACCTTCATGAATTTTAATATTCGCACAGTAGAGGAAAGAAGTACTGTATTCTAAAATAATGGTGTCAAGGGTAGCGCTTACGACGTGACACATTGCGTGACTAAGACGCGTTTCATTACCTTGAACAGTCTGCTGGAAAATTGCAAGACAATCTAACAGAACACCATTTTCTACATTTTCTTCCGCGGTGAAGAAAATTACGTCTTCCTATAAGCAGCTGCAGTAAATTGGTAGGTTGTCAAAGTGAAAGGAAACTTAGAGGTGTGCATTGAAGATGGGGAGATGAACGAAAGAGTTTCAACGCAACATGTATGGATGAGATCTATCCTTGACTTGTGAGAGATTTGACTTTGGCTCTGAAGTGTTTCTCTCATTGATTGCTTTGTTAATGTATGTAATGTGTCAGTTATCTATTAATGATCCCATCGAAGCGATTTATTTTGGTGGAAAACGTCGAATTAGATTTTCCTGCCAAGTTATAAAGCGGTTAATAATTTGCATAAATTAACCGCCAACTACACAATGCCTTTTTTTGTAAACCAAAAATCGTTAATCTGCTCCACAACTGACTGTAAAACGTAAAGGAATGCAATTTATAGGAACCATCCAACGTTCTTGCTTAACATCGCCCCAATTACATTATTTAAAAGAAAGACAGCGGCGAAGAAAAGTTGCGAAAATTGTCTCAGGTATACATTTTTATTTGATTGGCATGCAAAAATGTATCGAGTGCCCGCGGATTTTTAAGCATGAAATGGTTTACAAAGGGTGAAATATTTACATCCTGTTTCAATTTTGATCTAAATCGGAGTACTAGTAAGAAAAAAATGTGTTCAAAAGTGTCTATTTTTAAGCATTGTCAAAAAACGTCCCCCCCTTATAAATGACAATGAACAGGGGCCATCAGGGGGGGCCTAGAGAAAAAATAATAACATTTTTGAGCTATATTGAAAAAATAGCTCATATGTCAGTGGTGTGAGCGTATGTATCTTTGTGGCTTTGTATCTTTTTATCTTTGTATGTTCGGATGTTTGTTGCAAGAGCCAATAGGGTTGAAGGTACTATGAGTTGATGCTTAGGAACCAATGAGAACTTGGCATCTACTTAAACATGACATTGCTAAAGGTCGAACAAGTGCACTTTGAGACCGCCATCTTGATTCTTCACAATTTTTTCGTCTTTTATTACGGCTGCAGGTGTTTGGAAACATTATATTAAATATCTTCATGATTCAAACGCTGTGCACAGCGATGCAGCTGTTTAAGGGTTCATATTTTAGTGTGGATGCTACTTCAAGACATTTCTGACCGAATTCGGCTATCGCGAACGGTACTGACGCACGTATTTATGAGTTGTGTTTCACCTGCTTCAAGGTAGAGTATAAAAGATCATATATTTTCAAAGCTCTTCCAGTGAAGCAATAATTGATATTTAGATATGGACTATAATTCGAAAGTATGCGGCCTATAAGATGTAGTTTTAAAAGTTTGAAAGGCAGCTTATTTTTTTCAAGCTGTACCGAGTATTGTTAATCCTGTAAACAATCTTTACCAGACTTTTTATGCGAGGTTTCCGGTTTCGGTCAGTTCTTTATAGTGAGCGGTGCGCTCACATTTGTCAAGCGCCCTCTCAAAATTCAAATGTTTGGCAGCCAAAAATTCATGTTTGAACCCACTTTGAACCTATTCTCTCGTTACGTGTCCACGGTTGGATCCAAACGACGGTACAACAGCTCGCGGGTCTGCGTGGATGGCGCCGGAAGAGACAGTTGTCGTTTTTATACAATGTGTTTATAATGATGTACCGAAGACCTCAATTGGCAATTTTCGAACCGCAGTCTCCAACGAACTTCCACAAGCCAGGACCGTTTTGCTCTTCGGCAGTTACTCTGGCCAGATTTTTCCACATGAGGCACGATTTACGGACAGGTTTTCAGCGTAAGCTTTCGTGTAAGCCTCTTACAGGGCTTACAACCGAGCGGGGAACTGGGAACTAACTGCACAGTGCGAGAAATCGTTGAAACGCTAAAGTGAAAGTTATTTCATAGTCGTTTGGATATCATTTTTTCACTACACAGGGCCATATTGGAATGAAGCAGTTTTAAAACATAGAAGCACCCTGCATGAAAGAGATAAGATTACAAACTAACGGTGAATTTGGAGAACTGCAGTCGTTATTCGCAGGTTCACAAGTCAAATTCACATCGGCACTGCATGATCTTTGTCATGGTTAGTCTTTTAATTTCAGCTTGGTTTTGGACCTTTAGCTAGTAAGCTTATATTTTGTAAAATTTATGGCCTTTTGACTGTAGGGTTAAAACATTTTCGTGACTGCTGTTGAAGGTGTATCACGCTGTTGGAGGTGTATCACGGATTCCAGTTGTCAGTTGTTTGCACTTTGTTAATTCCTTGATTGTCTTTTCGTCCTATTAGAATATTATTTTGGGTCCCAAGACAGAAACACTCACTTTTAGAATTCCCAAGATAGATTAAAGAGCAATTATGTTCTAAGACATTTTTCTTGGTTCATTCTCAGACGAGTGTGAAAGCCTGTATTAAATGTTTTCCTTTGCTTTGTCCATATTATTTTTGTTGTGTGCATTGTTTTGATTTGTCGGGTTTTTTTGGTTTCAAGCTTTAAACATGTTACTTCTCAGGTTCACGGGTTTTCACTCTGAGATAACCCGGCCTTATACTCATGCTACAATGTAGTTGAAGCCTTAAGGTAATAGTTAATGTGCACAAGCTACAACATTATTTTCATGATTTTACTTCAATATTACAACTTAAGACAATAATAATTCTTTAATTATTGTAATACAGTATAATGTAACTGTTTTATTTATCCATTTGATGCAATGTCAAACAGTACATACATGTTATGGACTAAAATATCAAAACTAGAAAAAGAACACCTATAAGGTGTTCTCAGATTCATGTGTAATTATACCAATATTATAAGCTGTTTGGTTTATTGTTTATTTGATTTGCATTCTACCCCACACCAACAAAATTTGTCTTATGGCATTTCTTGATTAATTATACTTAAAGGGTGTTTCATTGTTCCAATAAGCTTACATTGAATGACACAGAGACTGTGTTGACTTCTTTGACATAATTTGAGGCAGAACTCCTCTCCAACCCTTACTCATGCAACTTCGATTTTAAATCTTGGCTCTCTGTATCTTACCTAACTGTGGGTCACTACAACTGTACTTGAGTAATACACAGCACTTTTCCTAGCAAAGATTACACAGAGAAACAATTACGTTTACTCATACTCAAACATGCATTTTAGCATGCAAGCGACTATTACCTTTTTTTTCATTCATTAGGAACATGCTATAAATTTGCTCTCCATTTGGGGAATTCAAAAGTCATACATGAGCTTCCATTTTTTCCCTTGCCCTTTTCCTTTACAGTGAGCAGCCATAGGGAGCTTGCTTGCTTGCTAAGTTTTTTTAAACGCCTTGCTCTGTGAACCTTCTCATAAGTACGTTCCTCATTGTTAAATCAGAGAATGGAACTCCCCAGAAAAACAAAACTTTGTGTAGGAGAGGAGTATAGATACTAGCGCTATAGGCTTTAATAATTAAATTAAGACAGTGAAAAACAAAATTGATTTTTCATTTCAAAATAGATAGCCCATGCTGAAGAATATTAGATTCTGCTGAAGGTTATGCATTGTAAAAGAAAAAAACAAGTGAAAACTACTTCAAAGAAACAATATCCAGCGACCATATTCTCATTGACTTTGAGTGCTTACTGGGACAGGAGGGAATGGTTGCAAACAGGGAATTGAAAGTCTCTTGCCTGTCCTATTATTTTTGTTTATTTCCCTAATGATGTCATCTCAAGCCATATATACGTGCACATGCAGCTGTTCATTTTACAGATTATTTTCTGTATAGTGTGTTCTCCTAGATATTATCTGGAATCTCCTAAAATAATTATTGTACAGAAAAAATAGCCATTCTTCCTAGAAGTCCTAGAAAGATGATGTCCAAAATTTGACATGACTTCTTTACCACTGACTGAAAACACCAAAAAGTAACAGCCCTTTATGCAAGGTTAGAGACTTGTCATTATAAAGAGGGGGAGGGCTGGTAAAAGGAGAGGAGGGCCAGTTAATAACTTTCATGAAGGGAAATTGGGGCACATGCATGAATTCGATTCATGTTAGCATACCAGAATGGATTTTTTTAGGGGGGGGGGGAGCAGAAATATGTTTTTCAAAAGGCAGGTTAGGATTTGAACATAGCCTACTTCCATAGCACCAGTTCTCTCCCACTGCCCCCCCCCCCTCCAATATCCTCCTCAGCCTAACATTTCCACACTATAGTGCCCAAATCCTGTTCATTAAGTGCCCAAGTGGCAACTAGAATTCTTCACCGCATCTTGTAACATGCCAATCATAACTAAGACATCTTCGAATTTCATTTGAAAAATTGTTTATAACTACATCACGAGTTTTGCCACGCCCCTGTTTTATCAAGAAATCATTTGATTCGAAATCCCCACTAGATAGAGAGCCAACCATTTTCTTGTCTTTATCCATCTTGAATGCGGTGTCAAATAATTTATATCTAGAGAAAGTCACCTACACCTTTCAGAAAGCGAAGTTAAATGGGTTGAAAAAAATCGCGATGACGTTTGACGTGCCGTTGTCGTCGTGGTTGCGTAAACTCCCTTTCTCGGTTTTGTCACCATCTTTATTATCTTGATTCACTCGTAGGTTTCTAAAACCTGTCCGCGGTCAGGGGGTTACTGTTTAATGCAGGTTTGACTGCATGTATTAGTTTGAATCACAACCGAAACTTCCCAAATCACTACTTCATTTCCGGACAGAATTATCACAGCGGAAAGGATGTTAGACTATGAGTTGTCCCTTAGTTTCCTCAGGGATAGTACGCGAGCGCACGTGAAACTCACCACCAGATGATACGTGGAGAGTAGAGAGAATACGGTGACAACCTCGGCAGCGTTCCATTGATCGTATTCTGGAATAACGAAACGCAAAGGATTAAGTGTTAAAAATATCTTGCACCGTGATTTTTGGACTACTTGGAGTATTTTTTGTTTTACTCACTTTTTATAAGATAAATTAGATAAATCGCTCATGAAGTAAAAATTTGTAAAACTGAAATACAGTTTAAAACTATACGCTGTGTCTACATGTCCAGCAGCCGGGAAGGGTCTTAAAGAAACAAAATGCCCAACAGTCCAAAATGTTTCAAGAATTGAAATTGTCTCACTGCCTCTCCTTTTCTAATTACTTTCACGAAGTTGTGGTAGATGTTCGCAGATCTGGAAAGATTGCTGCAAATATACGTGAACTTGTCAACGGACTTGAGTGTTTCCTTTTTGACAGTGATAGCTGGTACCACTTATGCCTTCTAAGGGGAAGGCTGGTGAAGAACTTGAGTTGTTTTGGTACTAACTGTTAGACCAAAGTTGTGGGAAGCATTAGGAAAGCAGTCGACAGTCGATACTCATTTCAACGGGGACTCGGTGACAGCGTTGAGCATCCAGTCATCTGCGAATAGGACATCACACACACTTTGAGCCTGGTCATTGCCTGTAGCCTACCCAAGTAAATAGTCTTTCATCGATCCTGTACCTAGTAATCAGGATACCACCATCACTTTCTTCGACTTTGCAGAAATCCGCCAACAAATTGACTGTTAGCATCCTGCTTAACAGTGTGGAGGTAGCGACACAGCCTTGCTTGAGTCCGTTAGTGACTGGAAATGCTTCAGAGGAGTTTCCATTGTCCAGTACTCGAGCAAGCATGTCATCGTGGAAATGACGCATCGTACTGTTGAACTCATCTGGACAGCCAAAGTTGCCACTATTTTCCACACTCCTTAGCAGTTGACAGTGTCAAAGGCCTTTGTCAGGTCTACAAACGTTATGTCGAAATTTCTATACTGTTCTTGACACTTTTCCTGGAGTTGCCGTGCAGCAAACGACACCATGTTGGCAGTTTCACAGCCCTTCCAGAAGCCATACGCACTCTCTGGGAAGTGGCCATTGGTTGAAGAGGATTCTTGCAAGGATCTTGCCAGCGATGACTATCAGAGGAATTCCTCCGTGATTGCCGCACGATTGCCTGTTTCACTTTCACTTATAGAGGTGGACAATGGAGGCTTCCATGAGGTCTTGAAGAATGACTTCCTTCTGCCATTTGGACTGGAAAAAGCTCGGCGAACTTACGTAATAGAACTGGTCCTCCTGCCTTGAAGACTTCATCAGGTATGGAATCTGATGCAGGTTTTTTTTTTTATTGAAATTCTTCGGAAAATCTGCTAAGGATTTGTTTTATCCCTATTAGAGACCTACGAGCAATGGCTTCAACGTTGATGGACTAGGGCGTATTTAGGACGCTGATGAAATATTTCACCCAACTCTCCAGGATGGCGTTCTTCTCACTATGTAGCGTTGTTCCCTCTAGTGGTGATGGCCCATAAATGTTCCTCACGACATTATAGAAGCGTTTAGTTTTGTTATTGTCAGCATCTGCCTTTTTATTGAAACAGGAGTCACAGCGCCTTGAGGTTAGTTGTACATGTTGAGTTTTCAGGTAATTCCCGGCAGTCTGCTCTGCACATCGCCCTTGTCACTCTAACGTCCTGCCTGTCTCTTCTCCGGACGAGAACATAATCGATCAGATACCAGTGCTTGCTGCGTGGGTGCATCCACTACGTCTGTGTGTCGGTGGTAAACGATAAACTGTATGTGAGATGCACAGGTCTCCAAAAGTAACAGTCCATTACTGTTACATGTCCTAACCCCATTCCTCCCTATGACTCCCTCCATTGCCCACTCTAGCATTAGAGGCGTAGACAATAATGCGTTTGTCCTACTTTGGCACGCCCTCGATGATGTCTTTTAAGTTCTTGTAGAATTTATATTTCATCTCCTCAAGATTCTTCATTGTTGGAGCATATTTACTGATAACAGTGGCGCAACGGTTTCCTCAGCGAGAGAGCCGAAAAGCCATGAGGCGATCGTTGATTCCTTAGGGAATTTTGTTAAACGTATTGATCAGATATGTTTTGACGGCAGATCCCACTCCTGCTTCACGATGTTCTTCACTGTAGCGATCGCTCGAGAAAAAGCCAGGCTTCGATCAGCTGACTTTTATTTGCTAACCTTGTCTCACTACGCTGGGATATGAATGTTGTATCTGCCCAGTTCTCTTGCAACTAGAGCTGTCCGTCTCAGGTCTGTAAGCTTTGGTGCTGTCCATGAGCGTATGCACATTCCATGTGCCGATGGATCGCGATGTGAGCTTTGTTTTCATCTTGATGTTTCGACCGCATAGATAGGATCCCCTCCTGCCGCGGTAAGCTGAGGCAGCCTTTGTTGGGAGCATCTTTTCTAGCCCCTTCCTCAGGTCATGGAGGAACACAGAAGAATTCCTAAAGGGGAATGCTCAGACATTCAGGGGAGATGACAGGGCTAACAGGGCTTACAGGCTTACAGGGCTTACAGGGCTAACAGGGCTAACAGGGCTTACAGGGCTTACAGGGCTTACAGGCTTACAGGGCTTACGGGCTACTTGAGCAAAGTATAGGTTTAGAGCACATATCAAGCACGAAAAAGTCAACGATTTTGTAGAAAACGTCAAGGATAGTCCTCTCTGCTAAATGTTTAGCAACCTTAAAACATACAACCTCTCACTTGTCCACGTTTCGCAGGCCTAAAAGGAAATTATTACCGTATGAACAATTAATTAGTATCCTTAAATGTTCTCCCATATTAGCGAGCGATACTCTAAATGTGGCTTCAAGCAATTTTTCTTGACCAATATTACAAATCATTGTGAAGAACGAAAAATTCAGCTTTAAATTGACGTTTATTCAAAACGATTCAGCAACTTTAGAAGCAACTTTTGAGATTTAAGAACCAACTTCTTGGCATTTCCAGCATTTTACGAACACAATTGGAACAGTTCTAGGCGTAGGCGGCTTAGACGCCGACTACTCATCCATGCGTCAGTGTCTGAGCCCTGACCTTACATTATGTCACGCCCACTTCGCCTGGCAACACCACACAGCAGTTTGACCTCCAAACATTAATCACAGGGTCTGGACTAGTAGATGGTTTCAGTTTTGGGACCATAGCTGTTTGTGGTCCCATAACCAGACCCATGTCATTAAAACATGCATATATTGCGGAAGGTAATTACATGGCAAAAATATACCATCCATACGATCCCTTCCAACATTTTAATGGGTCCAGACACGGTTTTTTCTGCCGTGTAAATGGGGCTTAATTAACGATTTTTAATGTTTTTGACGCCGACCTCTTGAAACTGGAGAAAACTACTCTGAAATAGGGTCCAAAAAGCGATTCTGACATTCTCTAAATGACAAACTTACTAAAACATTTTTGCCCCTAACATATATTGAAGGCTAACTGTGAATTTTTTTTCATGTTTACGCCTAATACCCTGGGTACCAGAGGTCTTTTCTCACGTGCGACGAGGAGCTCTGTCGGCCGCAGGCCGACATGTTTGGCAGTCATGAACCTTGTCCTGTTCGTTGTGATAGCAGAAGAGAAACCTTCGTTTCGCACATGATCTTTTCAAATTGACCCGCCCAGATAAAAGTCTACTGTACTGTGGGGTGTTCAGGTTGGGAAACGTTTCTTTCAAGGCTCTTGAACCACCAACTTTCCATTTTTTAAAGAACCACATGTTAATCTGCAAGATCTGCCCAGGAACGAGCCTGTAAGCTTCTAAACGCGTATAAGCCTGTAAATCCGCAAACGCCAGTAAGCCTACAAGCATGTTACCCTGTATTAGAGCATAAAACACTGTTAGGCTATATTAGGTTTTATTATGTATGCAACCTTGTTAGCTGGTAACCCTGTCAGCTTTGTCAGCTTCCAGAGTGAGCTGGTTAGCTTCTAAACCATTATAGCCCGTAAACTTCTAAAACCGTAAGCCTCTAAGCCTGTAAGCCCTGCAAGCCCGTGAGCCCTGTAAGCCCGTAAGCCCTGTCAGCCCATAAGCCCTGTAAGCCCGTAAAACCCTGTAAGCCCTGTAAACCCTGTAAGCCTGTAAGCCCTGTAAGCCCTGTTAGCCCTGTCAGCCTGTAAGCCCTGTAAGCCCTGTTAGCCCTGTAAGCCCTGTAAGCCCGTAAGCCCTGTAAGCCCCGTAAGCCCTGTAAGCCCGTAAGCCCTGTAAGCCTGTAAGCCCTGTTAGCCCTGTCAGCCTGTAAGCCCTGTAAGCCTGTAAGCCCTGTTAGCCCTGTCAGCCTGTAAGCCCTGTAAGCCCTGTTAGCCCTGTTAGCCCCGTAAGCCCCGTAAGCCCTGTAAGCCCTGTTAGCCCTGTTAGCCCTGTAAGCCCTGTAAGCCCTGTAAGCCCGTAAGCCCTGTAAGCCCTGTAAGCCCGTAAGCCCTGTAAGCCCTGTAAGCCCTGTTAGCCCTGTAAGCCCTGTAAGCCCATAAGCCCTGTAAGCCCTGTTAGCCCTGTAAGCCCTGTAACTCGACGGAAACGGGAAGTTACTTATATCCGTCACGTTTCCGCCCTGCGGAAACATGGTGATCTAGTTTTCCATGGACGGGACGCGTTTCCGTCATGTTTCCGCGACGGAAACGAACGATCATGTTTCCGCCACATTTCTGTTATCACAGTTTCGTTCTTTCTCGTTTCCGTTACGTTTCAGGTGACGAATTTTTTTCTTTTTTTAACCCATGTCCAAGATCGCATGATCAATGTTTCAGAAAATTTGCCTTTGCGTACAATCAGGGTGAATAAAGGTAAATTTACTCTTGAGATCGGGCTATAAACGGTTCTAATGCATTACTCGCGCGCGTTGCATTGATGGAAAGACTGTGAAGTGTGCGAGGTTGCCATTGCTTTCCATTCTAAGTGATAAAAATCGCAGAGCTTGTTGTAGTTAATTTTTTATTTCAGTTAATTTTTATTTTTCCATTGTTTTGGGGTATGGTAATGTATGCTAATGAATTTAAAACAAAGGAAAAACAAAAATTAACTGAAATTAAAAATTAACTGCAACAGCTTACCAACAGCTTTCGATATTTGCCAGATTGATGTCAATCAGTACTGGCGTAGAAAACAAGAGAGAAAACAAGAGGGAATGGGGCCTAGAAGAGAGTGGAGTGCTGGTCAGCGGACTTTTCTTTTGCTCATACTAATTGCGGTCCAGTTGCGGTCATTCTTTTTGGCGTCCATTTTGAAAGTGATGGCAACGGCTTCAAATTTGCCGGCTTCTGTAGGTTCTAGGAGCGTGGAATCGGTATATTTTTGCTTTCTAATGGCACTACAAGACATCTAAGGGTTGTTATGTATATTTGTCGACCCATCGGCCTTCAGTAATCGATCGCTTCCCTCGTAAAGCGACTCTTCTGACACAGTTGAGCAGAATGTGAGACAAAAACCTCGTGATGAGCAAGCATAATTTGAAAGTTGGATTGTTTTACCGTGCTAAGGCTATCCAAGGCGGAGGATTGTCACGGAGAATACAGATAGTAAGACGAGGTAAGCTTAACAGTTTTCCATATTTCATTCTTGTGGTCTGTAACATTTGATATAATGCTTGGGAGACATATTTGTTGACACAAAGCTGTGATTGATAAGTACAGTAATTTCCCAAGCAGGAAACTGTAACATAATGAACCTGAATCATTTTACTAAACAGGGCAAGGCGTTGCACTGTGAGGTCTGCGAAATGATTGTAGAAAAATGGTTAGAGGGTTCCAGTGATTTTGTTACAAATAGTATATGGTGAGTCCAGGGACTCATCTTGTGAATAGGCACGAGTCCCTGTTCATAACCAGTGAGTCCCAGTTCAAAAAAAAGGGAGTCCTTAATTGAAAATGCTTGGTATGGGCCTTTTAACCAGACAGTAATCTGGAGACAGACACCAAAACTCTTATTACAGTTTACTGAAATCAAAATATAGTCCTTCTATATATTTAAAGCACAAAAAGACTAAAATAAGTATACATCTTTAAACAACAGCTACAGAAATCACACAAACAGGATATTCTACCAAAAAATCTTCAAATCGATCGATCATCCTTTGTATCCTACAGCATGCGTGCCATGAATTTTTTTGTGTCTTTGGGAAATTTTACGTGTGAGTGATGCAAGACGCAGAGGTAACAAGATCACTGGGGTTCAAAACCATTCCAAATAGTGCACAGGTTTAATTTACCAAGAAAGACGGTAACAGATATTGTTGATCGGTTCATATGTCTTGGAAGCCCCTACACAGACTTGGGTAAACAGCGAAGACCAAGTATATATGCTATGGAAATACAAAAACATTTAATTGAAAATCAGGTTGTTGAGCAACAAAGGTTCATTGAGTCATGTATTGACATGTGATCTTGGTTACTCGTGCAAAAAGTTGACAATAGTTCCAAAAGAGAGCTTATAATAATAATATAATAATGCTTGACTGAGAATGCTCAAGAAAAAGCTGAAGAAAGTATTTTTTTTCAGTAACTGTGATCCCAGGAATAGGCATTTCTTTGACGAGAGCTCAGTGATTAAAAAAACTGGGAAGTGAAGTTACTGTTGAGCAAACTTGTGAAGTTCAGTCACACCAAAGTTGACAACTGTCTTGAAGTTCGCAATTTGATTCCCTAACTTGCCATGTAATTGGCTACTTCATAATGTAGTACCCAATTTCCCAACAAACGTTGCAACGTGGCGTGGTAAATAATTTGAAATCGACTGTAAAAGAGTGATCCAGACAATACTGAATATTGTGACACAGCCCCTTTAAGTCTTCATTTCAGTGGAAAGCAAAACCAGCAGTGGAGTTAAACTAGTAAAACCACTTTTATTTATCCTGTATTACCCTGCAGTTGTATGCAAGCATCATATTGACCAGGGGGTGGGGGGTACTCCTTAAATAATTTTGTTCTCTTGAAATCCAAACAATGTTCCCACAACTTGCAAAGCAACCAGCAGATTTGTTTACTGATCATTCTTTGAATAACCAAAGATTGGTGGTTTTGAGATAAAAACTGAAAAAGGGAAACTTATTATAGTTTGGTTATTCACAAGTGTATTGATATAATGCCGCTTTTCAGACAACATATTACTGCATAAGG